CCCTCCCAAGGCACTGAAGATAAAAAGAGTAGATAAAAAGAGACAATATTAACATTGAGTAGAAGAATCACTAATCTAGAAATTGAATCTTAAAGGAACACAGAAAAATCTGGAAGTCAAGAATTTCCAAATAGTTGTTTTCATAGAATGTGAAGATTGATGGAATCTAAATAGTCACCCTGCTAATTCCATCTGATTTCTCTGGAAAATGGAAGAAAAGGGAATGTCTGCAGGAAATCAAGATGGGAAATTAAAGAAGGAGATTTAAGTAAATTCAATGGGCAAATTCAAAGAAAGATGATCACCACTACATGGTGACAGGGACATTCAGTTCATGTAACATAATCTGTGAATGGCTCTCCCCAGAGACAGCTGTCTATGTCAAAACCAAAACATTTGTTCCTTGACCTACTGTGTTAGTCAGCTTTCTATCACTATAAGAAATAACTTGAGATAATCAACCTATGAAGAGAAAGGTTTATTTTGGCTTGTAGCTGGGATGCTCAGTTCTATGATTGGTCACAGTCATTGTTTTTAGGTCTGTGATGATGCAGCACACCATGATGGGAGCACGTGGAGGGGCAAAACCTCTCACCTCATGGTTAGGAAGCAAAAAAAGAGAAGAAGGTGCAAGTGGTTCTACAGTCCTCTTAAGGACACACCCCCGATTAGACCCCAGTTTTGAAGTTTCCACCACCTCCCAATAGCACCATTCTGGGATCTAAGCCTTTCACACATGGGCCTCTGGGGGACATTCCAGATCTATCTTAAAGCATTTCCCTTTTCCAAACACATTTCAATATGGATATTTCCAAGCCTCTTGATAATTTACTAAACCTTTTCAATTTTTACCCACATTTGGAGTGTTAGGTAGAGCTAACCTGAACTCCATTCACTCCAAAGTGTTGGGTAATTGAAACCACTCTAGAGAACTCATTGGACTAAGTAAGAAATGCCTCCATGAATTGGCATCCTAATTATGAGTCTGGAGAAGCAGGTACAGAGAATGACTACATGACTAATTTTCTGTTAGCTCAGGTAAAGGCCAGTGGTGGTCTTTGTCCACAATTTTTGTGTTGAAATTCCATGAATTGTGTGTTATTGAAGTTGCTTGCTGATCTGTGCAATCTCTACTCCAACTGCTGCTTCCTTTGGGTTCTTTCTTTCCTTGATTACTACAAAGTACTGTCTATTCATCTTCTTGTGCCTAGCAAACTTGTTCTTCAAACCTTTACCCCCCAATGTACACAGGAAGAGTATAATCCCTTTAGTGCAGCTAATGGAGCACTTGTATCTCTAGCTGCATTTCTCCATGTACCCTGTATTCAGCCATCCTGACTGATTCTATCTCATCAGATTCATCCAGAAGTGTCATGGCTTCTCACCATTGACTTTGCAATTTGTACCATGCACAGTCTTTCCCCTTTCCCCTACTATCCATCTGCCCATCTTTTGCTCTTTCTTTCCAGCACAATCCAAACATCTTTCATTTTGTTTCCTGATTCATTCCAGACATGGAATTACAATAGAATTGGTCACTCCTTTCCTATATTCCTCACCAACTTAGTTAATAAATATCTCTGTTTTTACCTTATTATATATTTCAGATTTTGTGTTCCTGTCCCTAACCTTGAAAACTATATGGTTATTTTGTATTATTTTCCTAGCAAAGTTCTTGACACAGAGTTTGACACATAGTAGATACTCAAACATGCCTATTGGATAGAAGGATGGATGAATGTATCGATGAATAGATGGATGGATAGATAGATGATTGATCAATGAATGTATTAATGGTGGGTGGATGGATAAATATATTGATAGATGCATGGGTGGATGAACATACTGGCCAACAGATGGATTATAGATTGATTGATCACCATATGCATTGGTGGAGGGACAGCACTTCTGATAATGATCTGTCAACATACTTTCCTGTTAACTCCTGCAGTATGCCAGCAAATGTCATAGGACCAAAAATAACCTTGAAGACTGAAACTAAAATATCAGATAAGGAAATAACAACAACCTAATTTAGGTCATAATTCATTAATTTGATAGCTCCTAATTCATTAATTACATTGAGCACCTGATGACCCTGAGGAGTTGGAGTTTGACCAGGGTCTAACTATTCTCTAAACCCCCAGCTCATGCAAATATCTTCTCAAGAGCTCCCTAAGGGAATGGGAAATGGAGAGCTCCTTGGCTTTGCCAAATCTGGACCACATCCATTTCACTCATCACATGCCAGCCAAGAAGCATCAAAAGGAAGGAGAGGAAAAAAAGTCTCTGCAATGGTTGGGTATTTAAGTCATCAACAAAAATGTTGAGGTTCTTTCTGCCACAGAGATCATCTCTGGTCTGTTGGCAGAAAGTCCAAGTCACTCTTTACTTAAAGCCTTTCTTTCATGGATCCCTATGGCCCTCTGAACAAAATCCAGATGCTGTAGCATGCCACACCAGGTCCCTTACGAGCTGACATCAGGGATCCTCCCAGATCTAACCCGCTGCACAAATGTGGCCTTCAGCCTTGCCAAGCCATTTCCTGCTTCTTCTGCTGTTCACTACCTCGGCTGCTCCGCCTTTGCTTTCTATCAGTCCTCTCATCAGAAGGTGTTCTGCCTCTCCCACCCCTTCACCCTTCAGGATCCCCAGAAGTGCTACCCAAATTTCCCAGGTTGAGTTAGAGGCCTTCTGTGTTTTCACAACTTCTCACACTTGTTCTCCATCAGTGCACAAGTAGCATTTAAAAATGTCATTGTTTATGTGTTTATGTTCTTGAATTGTAAGAATGTGGATAAGAGCAGAAAAGCACCTGTTGTCTATATCTATCCACAAGACTCACTGTAAACTAGAAACACGTGCAGTCATAGGATAAATGGTTGTAGCAACTGATCGGAGATATCCCAAATGTATCAAATAGAATAGTGATTACTCTTTGCTCCTTCTGGAATAGCCCTGTTTTATTTTTGTCTTGGTTAAAGTATTTGATTGCAAAGAATTTAGAGAATAAAGGAAACAAAGAAGAGAATGGGAAATACCTGTAAGCCTTCCATGCACAGACAAGCTCTGTTTTTATCCTATTTTCTTCTGGCTTAACATTAAACAGCAAGTGTTCTCTCCATGTCATTAACTTGTCTTTGAGAACGTGATTTTTAATGACTCACATGGTCTGTTGAATGGACGCACAATATTGTTCTTTGCTTTTTCTTCACGTGTGTCCTCGGAACCCTGATTCTTTCTGACGTGATGTGGCCATTCTTTGGCACTGTGGAGGATAGGGTGAGCATGTGACCCACTGGGCCAATATCTCTTTCTGGAATTCATTGTAGTTTCTTTCTCCTCCTCAAGTTTTTTACTTCCTCAGCTGCATTTGCTGTGAAGGGCATAGAGAGCAGGAAAATGTGGTTTTGAGATGCCCTGTTTTTCTGGGTAACACTTGTAAGCCTGTGCAACATCCAATTTTTAGTGAGTGTCAAACTGGCCATTGCTGTGTTTTCTTGGACATTTTTAACAACACATTTTTCTCTGGCTGCAAGGAGATATGGCCTCTTTGGCAACCTCTCACCCCAATTCCTGGGGATAAACTCTGAGTCTGGCCTAAGCACAGGCAAGGTGGCTTTAAGGAGTGGTGAAGGCACATGTGCTGTAAGATAGACAGATATCACTGTGATGAAAATACTTAGGGCAAAACTTGACTGCATGGATGTTATGTAAGGTGTATACTGGGATCATTCTGATGTATCCCCAGTACCCGTTCCTACTAACCTCTCACTCCTGTTTTCTACTTCTCCTTGCTGTATTATATGTGATTTCTTTGCGTCTATTCTACAGGTCATCAAAATCTCTCACTCTCTTTCTCCCTCCTCCTTCCCTCTCCCCTCCCTTGTCTCTCCTCTCCTCTTCATAAAATCCTGCTAAATGATTCCACTGGTCCTGGGTGCTCTCTGTTCTATTCTTCCTTTCCCTCCTTTGTCTCTCTTTGGGCCACCATGGGGGTCAAAGTCACCATTGTTTTTCACCTTGATTTCAAGAACAATAGCACCCTGTAAATCGTACCCTTGTATCCATTCTCTACACAGCCTTCAAATAATGTCATAAAACAAAGCCTGGTTATGTTATCTCCTTAATTAAAACCCTTCAATATCTTCAACTGCTTTAAGACAGACAAAATTTAACATGGCCTACAAACTTCTATACTACTTGCCTCCATCTCTCTTCCCAGCCTCACTTACTGCTACAATTCCCTGTCTCTCTTGCTTTAGCCTCTCTGGTCTGTGTTCAGTCCCTCACATACACCACCACAGGCCCTTTGCACATTCTGTCCCTTTTGTCTATTTATGTCTTTTCCTACCTAGTTAATGCTGATGCACCCTTCAGGTCACACTGTACTTCCTCAGCCTTACCTGACCTCTGTTTTGTTCTCAGATGGCACACCCTTCTTTCTGTTACAGCACATGTCAGAGGTCTGTGATTAATTAAGAGTTGGTCTCTCCCTTAGAATATAACCTTCATGGGACAAGGGGATCCTGTCCATTTCCTTACTTATCCCCACCCCACAGTTCACTAGCCGAATCCTGACAAGTACAAATGCTTAATAATTATTAGTTGAATGATTAATGAAGTTGAATGCTGTGTGGGTTATAGGCAAGCAGTCTCCTTCAGGGAAGCTCACTAAAGCATACCAGAACATGCACTCAGATTTTTCATTAGGATCATTTGAACTCAGACCTGTGTATCTGGCAGGTCGAGTGTTCCATCCCACGTGTTGAGCTGTCGATTATCCGTGCCTATGCTGGGAATTCTGAGAATGATCCCAGGTGCAGCAAAGTGTGTGTGCTTGGTTAGCAGCGCCTGCATGGGTTCCAGGGCTTCCATGGTTGGAGCTGAGGGGTGTGTTTACGCTTGCAGTGTCACAGGGACGCTGGCCTCCTCTCATTTGTTTGACGCTCCTTTAATTCTCCTATAAAATTTGTCTCTCTCTCTCTCTGTCTGTCTAGATTTATGGTAAACGTGACATGGAATGGTAAGGACCTGTCCTTCACTGACGAAGGCTATCAGGTGCACCCCAGGCTGGTGGTGATCGTGCTGAACAAAGACCGAGAATGGGAGAAGGTGAGCATCCTTCCGCATGCTGAAGGCAGGGGAGGGAAGAAAGCATGGGCAAAAAGGAGACAAAGGTGTCTTTTCCCAGAGCACTTCTGGCTGAGCTGCTCCAGGCTCCACCCAGAGCCAAGGGCACCTTTCTTAGAACAAAGTAGACTGACTATTGTAAGGTGCAGTTGAAATGGTGAACTTGTATTCGTGTGCTATTCTCCATGTCAGTTCTCAGATGCCATAGGAATGGTCCTGGGAGGATTGGGGTCATTTGAAGACAAGTCAGGTTTGGTTTGCATCATTGAGGTCACAAGGGTCTGGTATGTAATGAAGATCACGTGAGTTTGCCTTACTTTCCTAAATGTACACCATTTTCACCACTGAAGCTTGTACATGAAGCCAAAAAAAGAACATCAAAGTAAGTCTAAATGAATTAGAAGGGAAAAAAATAATAAACATAAGATTTAATTTGACAAAACAGAACCCAAGCTATAGAAAAAAGATTAGTGAAAAGTGAATGCTTTGAAAAGATTAATAAAATTTAGAATTCATAACAACAATGAGGAAACAAAGGAGAAAATGCAAATAACTAAAGGGAATATCACCACAGAAATTACAGATCCTGTGTGATAAAAAGAATATTATACAGAATTTATGCCCACAAACTTGGGCAAGATGGGCAACCTTCTTAAAGAAATATAACTTTCTGAAACTGATGTGAGTCTAAATTAACCATCTAAATAGCTCCATATTTGCTAAGAAATTAAATGCATAACTGAAAACCTTCCTATTAAATAAGAAAAGAAGAAAAACTTCTGGCTTCACTGTGAATTTGCTAAAAACATTTAAAAGGCAAATAACACCAATGTACACAAAGCTTTTCAATATGCTGCTAATCATAGTTCAAGAGCATATTTCAAAACGTAGAATGCCTGGTGGATAAGAGGGGTTTATTTTAGGAAGGCAATGTTGCTTTAGTAGTTAAAAATAAATCAATGGAATTTGTCATATTATCAGAATGAAGGAGCAAATTATATAGTCATCACAATAGATGCAGAAAATGCATTTGACAAAATCCAATACCCATTCATAACAAACAAGGCAGATTCCTTATTCTGAAAACCCTCAGCATACTTAATGATGAGATAATGAAAGCAAATCTATAAATATGCATCACATGATTTTTGATGAAGATTATGAAAAGGGGAATGGAAACTATTTTAAGTCTGTGGCATTGGGTCTATCCACATAGAAAATAAAAACAAACTCAGCCCACCGCTCGCCCTCTACACAAAAAATTACTTGAAATAAATCGCAGGCTGAAATGTAGAAACTAAAATCATAAAGTTTCTAGAAGAGCACAAAGGAGAATATTTTTGTGGTCTGAGATGACCACAGCTTTCTCAAGCAGAATGCAAAAAGCATCAAACATAGAGTAAAAATTGTAGACTGAAATCCATCAAGATGAAAGCTTTTGCTCTTTTAAAAACATTTTTTAGAAAATGAAAAAGGAAAGTTGCAAAATGTAAGAGAATGTCAACAATACATATATGTTACAAGGACTGATGTCTAGAATATGTAAAGAACCCCTGCAAATCAATAATAAAAGAGTAACAGTGCACGTGGTTGATGTACTTTCTGTACAAATATGAGTGTGGAAATTTCAAACATGGTGAAATCACCATAAGAAGAAGACTAGGGTAGAAAGGAGAAAAATAGAGGTAATGAACCAAGTTGGGGTACATACACACACACACACACACACACACACACTCACTCCCCCACATATTTATATATGGAAATGTCACAATAAAACCTCCTGTAAACCATCATAAACAAACAAAAATGTCCTTTAAAAAAAAACAACTAAGGACAGGAAGGAAAAACAAGTCCTCTCTGGGGGTTGGTATCAATGGGACGGGGAGGGCATAAGGAAAGGGTGAAGGAATATGGTGTAAGTACTATGTACTCATGTGAAAATGGAACAATGACACCTGCTGAAACTGTTCTAAGAAGGGGATATAAAGGAGAATGATGCGGGGAGGTGACTCTAACCACAATATATTGTAAGCACTTTTGTAAATGTTACAATGCACCCCTGGTACAACTGTAGTATACTAGTAAATAAATAAAAGAAGATAAAAGAGAGTAACAGTGCAAATAAAAGCAGGAGATTGACTTAGATACCTCACAAAAGGAATTATTAAATGGCAATGAATTCCTGGTCATCGGGGCATGCAAATGAAACCACAATGGAGTCGTGCTTCATTCATGTCATGAGTGGCTGTAAATAAAAAAGAGTGACAATATCAAGTTTTAGTGAGGGCTGGGAGCAATGCACTCTCGTGCGTTGATGATGGGAGTGAAAATTTGGGCATTTTTTTAATAAACTGAAAATTGACAGATTTTATGACCCAGCAATTCCATTCCTATTTATACCAAGTAAATGTAAACATTCATCCAAAGCGTTACTCGAGTCCAGGAGGGTCCATCCTAACTTCATTCCTAATAGCAAGACATCACATGCAATTCAAGTTTCTATCCACAAGCAAATGGATAAATTATAGCATATTCATAAAAGAAATGGATAAATTATAGCATATTCATAAAATGGACGTTAACGACTGATGGAAAGGAATGGACTACAGGATGAATTTCAAAAACCATTATGTTGAACAAAAGAAGACAGACACGAAAGATGATGCTGTGTGATCTCCTTCATATAAGGTTTAAGAAGAGGAAAAATTTGCCTATGTGGTTGGATTTCAGAGTAATGGTTGCTTAGGGGGCACTAGAATGATTGACAGGAAAGAGACCCACAGAATTTTCTAGAGTGGTCACAATATTTTGTGTTGTAAGCATTTATCAAAATGCACCTGGCTGTGCCACAAGATCCACTCATTTTATTGCATGCCATCCATTCTATTTAGTTAAAAAAAAATGAATTCTACACATTGGGATGCCTAGCATAACTAACTGATGATTTCTTCCTCCTGAGTTTCTTATTTAAAATCTCCAGACACAAACACCAGTTCTAATCATGGTCTTTGTTTATTGATCACTTACATTTTTCCTTTAGGTGGCCCATCGAAGCACTGGCTGCAAACTCCATAAATTCATTTCACAAGTATTCATTCAGCGCCTTCTGTGTGCCAGGTACTGCCTGGACACTTAGGCTCTCTCAGTGAACGATAGCATGAGTTCTGCACTCGGGGAGCTTAGACTGTAGTGTGTATGGAGGAGATGGAGTGGGATGGGGTTCTACATAGTTCTGTTCAAGGAAAACATTAGCTTCTAGTTAATAGTCCCTGGTTTTTACTCCTTCTGATATGCTCTGTAGGCCACCATTCTAAGTGGTCCACGACTCCATGGATGTACAGGGTTCCTAAATGCATCTGGGACTTTGAGCATGCTATTTTTGGTTTTGCCTGTAGTGCTGTCCTGTATTCAACTCCGTATTTTTCCTTCCCCTTACACCTGCAAAACCCCTGACCACTGATAGGAGGTAAAGGTTTGGCCCTTTCTCCATGTATGGGTTGTTGACTCTTGGAGTTACTTTTCCATACAAGATGAGGGTCGCTTTTGGAACTGCAAAATCATTCTCCTTAGTTGGGTGTAGCCAGTCCTGGGTCAGCCTTAACTCATACCTGTGAATTTTCTTTTCTACTTTCAAATCTGGCTCACCTGCCAGGGAACCCCATTTACAAGGTCATTGTCCTGCAGGTGATAACATTGGGTGAAAGAAAACTGCCCTTGAGACACTCCATTTTGAGATACCCCTCCTTCCCAGTCCTGTTCAAATACAGCAATCTTCCAAAACCTGCTGGTTGGGAGTTGCCGCGGAGTTTAGCTTAGAATGTACAAACACTTCCTGTAGTTGGTCTCTTCTCCTGGCACACAGGGGATCCAAGGTCTCAGAAATAGCTCCCTGTGCGTCTGTCTTTAAGAAAGGGAAGCCGGTGGAGCAGGTAAACAGCAGTTCTGTCATCCTTAAAGCAGTTCACAGTGGCACAGCAGGTCTGCAGAGGGGAAGCACCCTTGAGGAGGGAGCTGGTGATCTGGGGCTCAGAGACACTCTTCTTTCTTCTCTGGGTCACTAAGCGGTGCCGCTGGAAGCAGAGCATGAAATGAGGGTGTCCTGGAAAACATGAGAAGCCCTTGGAGGCCTTCTTATTGGCCCTTGGCATGTGGCTAGTGTGTGTAATACTGACACCTATCATTATCACCATGTCCTAGCGAGCTGTGGACACAGAACTGAGAGCTCAGCAGCCTTTCTCTTGCAAATCAGGGCTGCTGTGCCTTTGTCTCTCCCTTTTGTCAGTGATTCTGCTCCCTTCAGAGTTTGATGGGCCCATGGCTTTCCAGAGATGTTTGAAAACAAGACTCTGGATGCAAGCCAATTAGCAGTCAGGCCAGCCCAACCAATACTGCTGTCTACCAACTCTAGGGCCAGCAGCAATTAGGCACCAGTGATGCAGCTGGAATGAGTGAGCAGGATTCCACCCCTCTCCTCAAGCAGCTCACAACTGAGCCAACTCCAGTGCAAAACTAGATGCCAGACCAATCACAGAGGACAAATGTGTAAACTTGGTCTGGTCACTTGGGACAGGTCTCTACAAGGGTGGGGACATTGGAGTTGTGCTTTGAGTGATAAATGGGATTTTGCCAGATTGGACCCATTTCTAATTAACCACTCCATCCTCCCAAATGCTTTGAGAGCATATTGCTTTAGTGTTACAATAGTTTTTCAATGAAAATATACACATGTATACAGACTGGCCTTTTAAATTATTTTAAATTGATCATTAAAATTGTATATATTTGTGGTATATGAGAGGAAGTTTTGATATATGTGTACATTGTAGAAAAGCTAAGTCAAGCTAATTAACATATCCCAGGCTAGCTATAAAAGGGAGTATATACTGAGAGAGATATTTAAAGAAAGATGTTTAAAGCTGTTTTGAAGTTTTGATTTCAGATATAAATAGGACAAAAAACATACATATTAAAGTAAAACA